CTGCGCGGGTCATTTCCAGCGAACCAACACACCGACCGCTCCCTGCTGTGCGAATTTCGTCACTTTTATAGTTGTCGACGGCAGCGTCCGCCCAGCACCAGCCCCGCTTTACAGCCGCAGGCGAGCGGGCACCTGGCCGGCCAGCAGCGCGGGCCGCGGGGGCGCGGTCCGGAGCGGCTGGGCCTGCCCGCGGCTGGGCCTCCCGGCGGGCCTGCGCTCGGCGGGGGCGGCCAGGCCGGGGCCGCGGGGCCACGCCGGGTCGCCGTCGCCGCCCGTGATCCACAGCGTGAGCAGGACGAGCAGCGCGCCGGCGCCCAGCGCGCCCACGAAGCCGCCGAGGAGCCCGAGCGCCAGCGGCGCGGCCCAGGCCGCAGGGCTCCGCCCGTAGGGCGCGGGCGGCCGGCGCTCCACGAGCAGCTCCAGCGCGTCCCAGGCGGGCTCGCGGCGGGCGGCGCGGCGGGGGCGCGGGCCGGCGGGGCGGCGGGCCGCGCGGCGCGGCGGGGGCGGCAGGTAGCGCCCGCCGAACCTGCGCAGCTGCAGCGTCGCCTGCTGGTGCAGGCTCTTGCCCAGCTCGCGGGCCACGTCGGGGCGGCCGCTGCGCCGGAGGGCCCGGGCCACGCGGTCCCAAGACAGGGACGGGGCCTTGGCCGCCAGCCAGGCCGCCAGCCCCTCCCTGCAGCCGTCGGAGACCTCGGCTGCCTCCCGCCGCCGCCGGCCCGGTTCCACCGTGGGCTCCGGCCGCTCGACCCTGGCCAGCCGGTCCTCCGAGAGCCGGGCCAGCTCGGCCTCGACGCCCGGCTCCGGCGCCTTCAGGAGCGACTGGAAGTGGCCGCACTCCTCCGGGGTCAGCAGCTCAGCCAGACGGATGGCCGCGTGAGGGCCCATAGCGTCCACGGCGTCCGCCGGAGCCAGCGCCCAGCCCCAGAGCGCCAACCCCAGGGCACACGCCGCCATAGCCATCGCCGCGGTGACGGGGCCCACCGAGTGTGGGGGAGGGGCTCCGAATGCCCGCGGGTGGGGGAGGGGCGCCTGCCACCGCACGTCGTGGGGGAGGGGGCTTCCTACTTTCAGGGACGCGGAGGGCGTCTCCAACACAGGCGACTTGTTGGAGGACCTCCTGACACCCGGGAACTGGGAATGAGAGTGAGGGTCTCCCAACACCCAGGAATTGGAGTGAGAGGGTTTCCCAATACCCAGGGGTTTGGTGGGACTCAGTACCCCCCGGAGGCTGGGATCCTGCGCCCTCGTATTGAAAAGCCTGTCCTCGGCCTCCTGGCCGCCCCACTGATGCCTCAAGCGTAGCAAGTCTCTACTATCTCTTCTAACCGGTTTACCCGCCCTCGTCCTCCACCTGAAGCTCTAGACACCTTGCTCTCCATTATCGCCGATATCCAATCAATTCCTAAAGGCTCTTCCTACCTACTGAATACTAATGTAGTATTCATAGCCTCTGTCATTTCCCATCCTCCCCGCCCTGGGTATCCAAACCCTCAACCTCGCCTGTCTGGACAAGGTACGGTCCTCCGCAAGTCCTCGCCTCGCACAGACACACTCTAGGGCCCCACTCGCTACACTTGTTTCCTTTCCCCAAGCAAGCCTGGCTCTGGCTCTCCTTTGGATGTTGGCCAGCACTCTTTGCTCTGCCTGGGCCACTCCTCAGCTGACAGGTCCCTTCTGGGAAGCCCTCCCTGACTCCCGGACACACCCTTTGCCGAGTCCCCATTAGGCACCTCCTCTCTACTCCCACGGCACTGCCCGCTGCTCTGGCCTTTTACTGTCTCCTCCACTAGACTGGAAGGTCCATCCACGGTCCCCATGGCAACTAGTGCATAATAGGTGTTCAGGAAAGATCTGTTGCATCAGTGTGTGAATTCTTAGCTTGCAACTTCCTCCCCACAACATGCACACAGGCTTGATCATGGGGCCTCAGCTCTTCACGGGCAAGGAAGGGTCTCGGGGTGCAGTGTTGCAGTCCCAGTGATTGCTCCAGCCTTACTTCCTCCCTCCCCCTGCCGGCACTTTAAGGTCTTGTGACAAACCACGCGTATGGTGCAATCTCCAGCCAGCATTGCTTTGCCAGGCTGTACCCAACCCTGCCCAGGAAGTTTTTGTGACACCACCACCACCACGAGGGGATCTTTCCTGGGCATTCTTGAGATGACCTGTGCATCCTCCATCACGACACTTACGTGGAAATTAATTCGAGGATTTATTCAACGTTTACTCAGTGTCTTCTTTGTACCAAATATCGTGCCAGTTGTATTTTCAAATGATCCATTTTTGAGCTTTTCCCACCCTGTATTGCGGGCTCTCCAGAACAGTGGCTGTGCTTAACCATTTCTGTATCCTCAGTGCTACGCACAGAGTCTGCACAGGGTACATGTACAATAAATCAACTAGAGTGCAAGGGGGTCTGGACCCCCCAAAGGCCCCTTCCCCCACCCAGTCCAGGCACACACAATTGTTTCTCTCCCAGGGGAAACTGTTTGCTCCATAAGGTCTCCCCTTGGGCTTGCTTTGCCTCCCGAAAGCCCAGCTATGCCCCAAGCCCTGAGCCCGCAGCAGCCTGGGTGCCCGCTCCCCTTGCACTCTGGGATTTTCAGGAATTGTGCTTAGTGCATTCAAGGACCTCAGGAAGTGGTGGGTCCAGACCTCTCACAGGTACCTCCACACAGCTTTTTCAGCAAGATGCTCCTTCCTAGTTTTCTCTCCCAATTTATGATCAGCTGTCAAAGACAGAGCTTGGGGATTGACAGATGCTGGCAGACAAAGGATCCCATGTGACCTTAAAGACTGGAACTCGCTGCCTCCACACCCTGCCCTCTGCCCGCTGTCCCTCCATCCAGGAATGGGGGACAAGCGCAGGCCCAGCCCCCAACAAGGGCTGCCATCCAGTTCCGGGTGACGCTTCCTCCTCAGCCTCCCTTTCCTCCATGCATTCATTTGTTCATTCATTCACTCATTCAGCAAACATGGGAGCCGTTCTTTCCCCTCACATTTCAGGGCTCGGGGGATATGAGTCAGTCCCAGAGCCTCTGAGAGGTCAGAACTGCAGAAGGGCCTTCCCTGTCCGGGGGCTTTTCACCCCGCGGCCTCACTGCCCAGCACCTCGTAGGCACTTGCTGTGCCAGAGCGAACAGGAGTCCCACCATGACGTTTTGCTGAAGAAACAGAAGCACCCACAGAGCCACACCCATGGCCCTGGAGACTGAGAGCCGGCATTCCCCACAGGGCTCCCCACATCCTGCTGCCCCCAAGAAATCCTCTGGAAACCACGTCATCACTTTAATACTGTGTAATACTTTCTTTTAAAATACAGTCTCTTCTGAGGTAGACAGACCACAACTGCAGAGCATCGTCAGACAGGAGATAAATACGTCCATGTACAACACGCAGCAAAATGAGGTAGAAATGGTTACAGCTGAAGGAGGGGACCCCAACCCCAATCTGGGTAGAGGAAGGAGAGGGCCAGCTTGCGAGTCTGCCCCCCCCCAATGCCTGCCCCTGGATTCTTTGGTATGCCCCCCCAACACTGCCGGAGCTGGACCTGCCCTTCCCCACCCACCCCAGTGCCCATGAGGTAGGTGCTAGTAGACTGGGGGCTGTCTCCTTGTGCAAAGTTCCCCAAGGCCAGCAGAGGAGGCAGTGGGGGCCCTGGGTCTCGGTCAGTGAGCTCTTCCCCAACCCCCAGAGCCGCCTGCCTCTTGAAGGGAAGGCTGGGATCCCAACCCCACTTCCCTGATGCCTTCCGCCACCCCCCACATACACACACACACCTGAGACGACCTCCTCGCTCCCTGCTCCCTCCCAGGGCCTTTCACAGACAAGACCCCGCAGCCCACTGCTTCTGGGCCGCCGAAGGCCTGCAGTGAGCCAGCTCTGAGGAGAGGAGGGCCAGAGACCAAGGGGAAAAAACAGAGCAGCTTTCCTGTTCGCACTCCTGGGCAAGCACAGGCCCTCAGCACCTTGGCACCTGAAACGTGCCCCACGAACACCCTTCCAGCTGGGAGTGGGAGAGGTACAGAGACTGCCGGAGCTCTAAGGCCAGCAGGACACAGGGCGGGAGGCTGGCGCTGGAGAGAAAAGAGGTAAGGGTGTGGGCTGGTCCCTCGCCTCCTTTGGACCAAACGTCAGAGTTGTGAAATGGGCTCCCTGAGGGGAAGGGGACAAATGGCTGAAGTCCCATTGGGAAATTGGTGGGAAGGAGAGGAATATGGTTCCCACAAGGACGGGGCCCCCATGCCTGGGCTTCTGGTGGGAAGTCTGGGTGGGGCTGAGAACAAGCCCCCACTGTCAGGGATAAACAGCCTGCCCATCTCCATACCCTCTCACAGCCCCTGAAGCTCAGCCCTAGGACCCTGGGAGAAAGGGAGAGACACACTTCCCCATAGAACCTTCTAAAATGCTGAGTCCTCCTCAGAGCTCCCCAGCAGATGAGGGAGGCTGAGACTGTAATCAGCTTTTTGCCAGCCAGCCTTGTGGCCAGACTGTCTGCCCTCCTGAGGGAATCCTCTTGGCATAAGCTACAGGAGACTTCTGCCTAGGCAAGGGCCAGCGAGATGACCTCTATGGGGAGTTTCTGCCGGGGTCATCGTCCCGTGTGGGCCCTTTCAGCCTACTTTGTGGGTCTGGGGCAGGAGGTGGGCACGGGCATCCCAACTCTGGATAAAGAACCCTTCACAGAAAACACAGCTGAGGGCTGGGGCCCGGCGAGGAGAGCCATGGGACGGGAACAAGACCTTCCTCTCCAGTCCCACCACCCCCTCCTCCACACCCCTGCCTACAACCTGGGACCTGCCGGGGAAGCCCTAGAAATACATTCTGCTTCTATCCCAGGAAGAGGAGGGGTTTCTGCGTGGCCTCTGGTCTGCCTCTGCCCTCGCCGGAAAGTCTCTCACTTTCTGAGTCTTCCGGGAGAATCTGCTGGGGGGGCGGGAGGGGGGGTGGGGGTTGGGGACAGTCCGAGTAGGGACACACAGGAGAGCAGCCAAAAACTAACATTCTTTCTGAGGTCAGTTTCTTCCTGAGTTGTCAAAATAAAAAGAAAAACAGCAAATTCTACACATCTTACAAAAATAAGAGGCCTAAAATATTGAACAAGCTACATTTCTGGGATTTCCCCCTCAAAAACAAACAACAAAAAACCCTTCTTTGGGTGTTCTTTTTTTTGTTTTTTTTTTTGTTTTTGTTTTTTTGCTTGACCCTCTCAGACCCAAGGTGTCAGCTGGGTGAGGGATAACAGGGTGGGAGGGAACTCCCTACCCGCTCCTCCCCAGCCCCTGGACCTCCAGATCTCCTGCAAAGGGACACTGCAGTCTTTGAATGAGAGGGACAGAAGGCAGGGAGAGGCACCAAGACACAGAGAGGCTGGAGAGCAGAACAGAGAAGGAAGCACAGAGGGTGATGGATAGAGACAGGGGAGAGAGAAGCAAAAGAGAACAGGGCCAGCAAAGGGGGAGGGGGCGGGCGGGTGACAAAGCGAAGGGGACAGAAAACTACGCGATGCAAAGGGGGAGGGGAGTGGGGGAAAGCAGGGGAGCCATTCAGACAGCGAGGAGACAAAAGGATTGTGGCGAGAGAGCAGGAGTTCCTTAGGCCCCGGATCTGCCCGTCCCTGGGGCGGAGATGGCAAGCTTCCCGTCCACAATAAATAGGGAAAACCTGAGTACACAGCGCATATGGCATCTATCTGCCTAGCAGAAGCATTTTCCTTCCCACGAAAAAAATCCACCGGCAGCCCCCCCCCCCCCACCGGCCCCGCGGACCCACCCCACATTCCTCACTCGGGCGCCCTCCCAGCCCGGTTTGGTTAAACACATCCCTCCCAAACGGAGGGCACAGGGAGGGAGGGAGGGAGGAAGGGGCGGCGGCTCCAGCGGCCTCCCCCGGAGGCCGCAGTCAATGTCCGCAGCCGCCGTCAGTGTCCGGAGCCGTACATTTTGTCCCACTCCACCAACGAGTCCAGGTCCTTGGCGGAGGCCCGAGGGCCCACCTTGGCCAGCGCCGCCTCCAAGTCCTTGTAGGAGAGGGGGCGCTGCAGCCCTGGGAGGCCCGCCCCGGCCGCCGCCTGCTGGCACAGCTGGCCCAGCTCGCCCCCGGAGAAGCCCTGGGTGCCCTGCACCAGGGCCGCCAGCTCCCGCTCGCTCAGCGCGCAGCCGTGCTGGGCCAGCGCCCGCTGCAGGATCTGCCCGCGGGCCGGACCGTCGGGCAGCGCCACGTAGAAGCGGAGCGCGAAGCGCCGGCGGGTGGCCTCGTCCAGGGCCGCGGGCCGCGACGTGGTGCCCACGACCAGCACGCCGTCGGCCCCGGCCCCGCAGCCGCCGTCCAGGCAGGCCAGGAGCGGCGCCTGCAGCGCGCCCGCCGCGGCGGCGCCGTCGTCCCGGGCCGGCAGCAGGGCGTCCAGCTCGCTGATGAGCAGCACGGCCGGCGGGCGGCAGCGCGCAGCCGCGAAGGCGGCCTGGAGGAGGCGCGCGCCCTCGGCGGCGCCCGGCGCGGCCAGCGTCGCCCCGCGCAGGCGCAGCAGCGTGGCGCCCAGCTGCGTGGCCAGGCAGCGGCCCAGCAGTGTTTTGCCGGCGCCGCGCGGCCCGAAGAGTAGCACGGTCCGCGGCGGGCGCGGGCTGCCGGGGTAGGCGGGCGGCCTCAGCAGGGGCCACAGCAGCTCCTCCTCCAGCGCCGCCTTGAGCGCGCCCTGGCCCGCCACGTCCGCCCACTGCACCGGGGGCCCGCACTCCACCATCTTGCTCGTCGCCAGCTCCAGGGCGCCCGGGTCCACGCCCTTGGGAGGCTCCCCCGACGGCACGGCGAAGCCCCCGCGGGGAGCCGGCGCCGGGGCGCGCTCTGGGAACTTTTCAAAGGGCTCGAGGGGCGCGCCGTAGACGGGGGAGCCCAGGACCTTGAGCGGGACGCCGGCCCCGTACTTGCCCGACGCCTCCTCGGCGACGCCCGGCGGCTTCGCCCGGAACCCGTTGCCCCGACAGTCGCCGTTGTCCGCCGCGGGGTAGGGGGCGCCGTCGGCCGCCGGGGCCTTGGTGGGCTCGTAGACGTACTTGCGGTAGCGGCCGTCGGCGCCCTCGTCGGACGCCTTGCGCTTCAGCGACACGCCACCCTCCGGGAAGGCGTAGGGGGCGGGCGCGGGCCGGGGTGGGCCTGGCGCGGCCAGGGGCGTGGGCGCCGGCAGCCCCGAGGTCAGGTAGGAGCCCGGGCCCGGGCCCGGCGGCGGCGGCAAGGCGCCGTAGCCCGGCTGCGCGGCGTAGCCCCCCGCGGGGTAGTTGTAGAGCGGCCCCGAGGGGCCGTAGCCCGGCGGCGGCGGGGGCTGCAGCAGCGCGGCGGGGGGCGGCGGCGGCAGCGCGGCGGCGCCCTGCGCGCAGTACCCCGGGGCCAGGTAGCCCCCGCCGTAGCCCGCCGTGTACTCGGGCGCCGCCGACGGGCCCCCGCACGCATTGCCGGCGTAGAGCGGCTCAGGCAGGTTCCCGGCTAGAACCGGAGAGCCCCCGAGGCCCCCGGAGCCGCCCCCGCTGCCCGACTTGGTCCCCGGGAGGCCCTCGTGGAGCGATGCCAGAGGGTAGGGCGGCTCCGGCCCGGGCCAGGGCTCGGGGTCCCCCTTGGCGCCGTTGAGGAAGGCGGCGTCGCCGTAGCCGCCCAGGGCGGGGCGCTCGTAGGGTGAGTCCAGGACCCCCGAGTACTTCTCTGCGTAGCGCTTGAGGAGGTTGGAGGCAGTGAGGGCAGAGATGTCGTCGTGTGCCCAAGCATAGTGGCAGCGCTGGCGACCCCCAGGGGGCAGTTCCAACTTGTGGGCCGGCGACGGGGTGGTGGAGGAGACGTCCAGGTGCTGCTCTGGCCACTGGTTGAGGGGCTGGGCGTGTTCCGGTGTCCAGTGCATCTTCGACAGAGCTGCAGGCAAGAGAAACAGCTAGTGAGGTGCTGCAGAGCCTCTGAGGACCCCCACGGCAGCCACCGGCCAACCCGCTTCCACTGCAGCTTGGGGCGGGCTGGTTTCCCGCATCCACCACCCACCCGTCTACCCTCCTGGGGCATCCTTCTCCAGGCGCCAAAGACACGCCGCTTGCCTTGCCCCTCATGTCCAGGATTAAAGTTATCTGAAAATACTTAACTCAGACCCAAGAGGAATCTGGAAACGACACATTTGCCTAACTTCTTATAGGCAATGATTATTATTGTCTTGGCCACACCAGCGCTGCCCTCCAGGACACACGGTCCTTACTTTCAGACCTAATGTAGTGAAGGGTCAGGCGATGGGGGACACCCCAGCCCTAGAACAGTCAGCCCTACGTGGGGCTCATTCAGGAACGTGTTTGCTGCATCCCCAGCATGGGCCGCACACTGAAGGCACCGGGGTTGTGTGACGATGAGGGAGGCGGGCCCAGGGCCCCGGCCTCATGGCCCGGCAGCTCAATAGTCCTAAGTGCTCTCTTCACCTCAGTCTTCCCTGAGGTTCCAGGGCCCTCCTGGGGCCTGAGGTCAGAGATGCCATCTGTGGCAGTGCTTCACCCTCTCTGGGAAACCCCGGGCGCTGACCCAGAAGCATTCACTTCCTTCCCACTTGGTTTCCTTTACTCTCCGCCTGATGAAGTCAGAGTAGCTGGGTCCCAGAGCCACCTTTGCACGTGACGGCTGTGTGCCCAGGGAGGTGCTGCCACCTGCCTCCTCCCCAACACGTGTCTCTCCCAGATACAAAAATGGTTATTTAGAATAGACAAACCATTCCAGAGAAGGTGGGAGAAAGTCAGTACACATCATAGAAAGTGGGTCACAAATTTCCCAGTAACCAAGTAACTCACTTTGTAAAGTAAAAAACACCACCATCCTCAAAAGAAGCAAAAATACTCCTGGCATAGAGATCATAGAACTTTTTGTCACGGACCTCAAGAAGCAGACCTGTGAGATGTAATAAACAATGTCTTCTTAGCCTTGCCCTAAACACAGCAGAAATGTTCCACAGCTCTTTCTTTTTTTGTGTGAGGAAGATTAGCCCTGAGCTAACAGCTGCTGCCAATCCTCCTCTTTGTTGCTGAGGAAGACTGGCCCTGAGCTAACATCATGCCCATCTTCCTCTACTTTATATGTGGGACACCTACCACAGCATGGCCTGACAAACGGTGCCATGTCCGCACCCAGCATCCGAACCGGCTGACACAGGGCCGCTGAAGCGGAACGTGTGAACTTAACCGCTGCACCACCGGGCCAGCCCCTGCATGGCTGTTTCTTACACTGTCCCACAGCACCAGTCAAGGCATGAGCCAAACCTAGTAAAAGGGACTCGGGGCCCAGGGAGTAGCACTCTCCGGGCACGTGGCTCCAGTGGGTTGGCCTGATCTAAGGATGAAATCTCAGAGACTAAATGGGCCCCTGGCATGCCAGACACAGCTTTTGCTGATGATGATTTCTCAAACCTAAGCTTTTGATAAGACAAACTTACAGTTTCAGTATTCTTTCTTCAACAAATTTTTATTGAGCAAATACTAAGTGCTGTGCTAGGCATGGGGGCTGACTGAAAGGTGAATGTGATGGTTCAGCCAGGTGACGGATTCAGGTAGACAGTGTCCCCTGTGAGGTGGGAAAATAGAGGTGTGTGCCAAGGGCTCAGGGGAACATGCCGCACCTGGTTGAGAAGGGCTCACCAGGGAGTGGTGTCTTTACTGGACTTTGAAGGGTGAGAAACCAAGTTGGCCAGACAGGCTAGAGGGTTCCAGCACTTTCCAAGGTGCAGAGCACAATGCATTCAGAAAGCCAGGGCTGTGCTAGCTCATACGCCCTATTCCCCTCCTCAAGACACTTTACTGCCACCTTCTGGAAAATTGTCATAACAAATCTACAAATTACCATGTCTCTGGGGTGAATCGTGCCCTTTAGAAGAAGGTCTCATATGCAGTGCGCAACCTAGTTAACCATACATTGCAAGCCTGGAGGGAGCACCAAGAAATGTTGGGTCACCGGAGCCTTGGAAGTGGGTATATGGGGGGGAGAGGGAGGGAGAAGAAGAAGCTGAAAATAATCCAGTCGCTTCTCAGCTTCACAGTTGCCCTTACCTGCAGCAGCCTGTCGACAGCACCACCCCCATTGATCTCACTACCTCCTCTGACTCTGACCTGACATCAAAGGGAGAGGACGCTCTTTGAAAATGAACTATACTCTCAGCCCTGCTGCCTAAGGAAGGCACGAGCCACAGACACTAAAGCTTACAAAGGAAAGCGGAGTTCATGAGGGGCGTTCACCTCCATCTGGTGGTCCTGGCCACCAATGGCAAGAGGGCTGAGCAGACAGCAGAGCTGGGTGTGAGGGCCAGGGGCAGAAATGCAGCTCTCCAGCTCCGCTGAGAGGCGTCACCAAGAGCAGAGGCATTACCTGGTGTAAAGGGCTAACGTCCTGCAACCCTAGAAATCACAAGTGGTTCTGGCTGCAGGGTCACAGGAGGTAACGTCCACGTTAGACAAATGCAAATACTGCGTTATGACATGGACCCCAAACCCTTTTTTCCTATTTACTGCTATCTGTGCTTTGGCTCCTTAATATGAAGAGAGATTGACCTTGATGATGGCACTTTGCCTGAGCGTATTAAACTGGGCGTGCTGGGGAGAAAAAGTGACCCCTCCCAGCACACAGACACAGTAAAGAAGGCTCTGGATCTGGACTTGTCCACACGCACTTCCTTCACCGCCTGCCAGACCCTCTGCTCCTCCTCGTGGCTGTTTTGTGGTGTCCTCTCTGCCCTCCCTCCCACCCGCTCCTGCCCTGGCCGCAGCCATCTTCCCTGAAGACCACACACCCTGGTCGTCACTGAAACTCTCTACGTCAGCTACTGGGGGCTCCAGGAACCCACCTCCAGCCCCCCAAGCCTGTCCTCCGGGCTTCACACCCAGCCTCCTGCTTCCACTCCAGGATGAGCCCCTCCCTAGAGGGGACCTGTCTGGGCAGCTCATCCAGCCCACGTGAGCTCTACCCTCAAGCCCATCAGATACTTCTCCTCCGGGTAATTCTCTTCCCAGGGGCACATCTCCCTCACCTCTGGCCTTTTGTCTGTCCTCACCTTTATCAACATCTACATCCACTTTGCAGTGCAGGACGCCTGAGGTCCGTCCACCCCAGCCCTTGACCCCATCCTGGCCCAGGCTGGGATCTTGCCCCATCAACTATTATTATTATTATTAACTATTCCCCCCACTACAGCGTCCAGGCTCCCTCCCCATAGCAAGCTCAATTCTTTCCCATCTTCAAAAAGGCCTCCTTCAGCCTAAGTCCCCCACTAGCTAGCAGCCATCTCTCTTCCCCTTCTCCTTCACCATCTGGCCTCTGCTAGAGGTCCTTTAGTGGTCTAACTGGGGAGCAGGGGACCAGATCACCAAGTTCTGCCGAACTTAGTCACATAGCACTCAAGACTTCCTCCCACCTCTTCCAAGGGAAAGAACAAAGATCTGGCCAGAACCCAACTGCCTGAGGAGCAAGCTCAAGTAGACAACCCAAGGGGGCAAGAGGAGGGCAGAATTTCAGGGAGAGGGAGGTGCAGTTGCCTGACCTACAGGCAGGCTAAGAATGCTGACCCATGGGAGCCTGAGGACACACCAGCATGCGTGCACGGACCGCTGGAACATGCACAGATGTGCACAGCTGCAGGCACACATGCATGTGTCTGTGCGTGTGCAGGTAGGTCCGGATACACACAGAAGCTTTAAGTGCAGTCTCACTTGGGTGCTTCCTGACACACCCAGGCCTGTTCCAGCCCTCTTGCTCCTGCATAGAGACCGTGGGCCTGCCTGTGGCCCAGCCCACAAGCTCCTGCCATTCAGCCTCCTGCACCTGGAGGGCTCCTGCCCCCGCCTCCCTCCCAGGTCCATAGGCCACCCTCCAGTCCCCTCCATCAGCTGAGCTGGAGGTGCGGAAAGGCCTCCTGACTTGGGGGAAAGTGTGGGCTTTGAATCAGAGAGACCTGAGTTTGAATCCAGGCCCAGACACTTATGTGTGACCCTGAGCAAGTGGCCTGACCTCACTGAACCTCAATTTCTCCATCGGTTAAAGGGCATAACATATGCCTTGAAGAGTGGCCATGATGATTAAAGAGTGTATGTAAAGTGTGCAGGCCAGAGTGGGGTACAGTAGTATGCATGATAAATGTGCAGTTAGGAACCCGAGCAGCGGCCCAGCCCTGCTGAGTGACTACCAACAAGTCACTTCCCCTTGGGGTTGGGGGAGGTTGGAGAATGTTCTGTGGGTGAGGGTCCTTCCAGCTCTGGCATGACAGATGGGTCCTCGTGGCATTTCCCCAGCAGCCCAGCACTAGGGACAGAGCCTGTCCCTTTTCTGTGCTCCACATGCTTGAGCTTACGTAGCCCTGGGAGATAACACCATTGTCATCACCCCCATTTTACAGGTGAGGAGACTAAGGTACAGAGAGGTCACTACATCCCCAAGGCACAAGCTGGAACAGAAGTGGAGCAGGATTCAGACCCTAGCAGTCTGACGACAGAGCCCAAGCCCTTCCCTCTCGGCTGCACTGCCTCCCCGGTCCAGCCTTTGGTTCTCACGGGCCAGAGAAGAGCCTGAGGCCACGACACCGCCTGCACTGCCTCTGGAAACACGTTCCTGTACTTCCTGGGAACGGGCTATGCCTCCAGTGCGGTATATCTATCCTCCAGACCTGCAGTTGGAAGCACCTCCCCCGGAGGATCCCAAGTCGCCTATGCCCCCAGGCAGCAGAATTTCTGTCCTCACCGCAAAACAAGTAGAGCTGTCCCTTTCCTGTAAACTTGCCACCTGATACGCGTTCACACCCCTAGGCTGGACAGACCTCCTTATTTGGGTCGGTGGCCTTCCCTGGGGGTGGCTGGGACTCTGGAGGAAAAGCAACATTCTGCAACTGCGGCAAAGTTTGGGGAGCA